TCCTTTCTACTCCCCTCTCTCCTTTCCCTTTTTTCTTTTCTCCTCCCTTTCCTTTCTCAGGCTGGCAGCGGACGTCTCCTGTGCCCAGGCCGACCAGGGCACTCACTATGCAGCCATGGATGACACATTCGTGATCCTCTACCTCCCTGGAATTACGCCCTAGGCTTTAAATCTCCCCACGGGAAAAGGGGTTAAAGCTAACAATAATACATACTGATCCTTAAAACTTAAAAGCGAAGGGGAGGGAGTAAAGTTAAAGCAAAGCTTCACCCTGTGTCTTCTAGAGTTTTCCCTCCAGAGGGAACAAGTCCCCAAGCAGGTGGTTCCCATCCTGCCAAGGTCGGTTTCCAGCTCAGAATCCACATGAGGTCTACAGGTATGTGCTTTTCCAGCTGACTTATCCCCTTGGCCCAAATTTGCCCACCCTGTCAAATGTCCTGGGGGCATCTAGCAACTTCAAGGTGCAGAAGCTCCATGCCTTACAGCTGCCCCGGATTTCCTGCTACCCAGCCAGCATCTGGGACTTGGCACCTCCTCAGACCTGGACTCAGATCCTGTTAGTAGTGGACTGGCCCCATCAGGGCTCTCAGACCAGCCTCTCCTTCCCATCATGCCTGAGCTGAGCTGAAACAAGAATTTAACTTAGGCTGTTGAGAGTAACAAGTGGAATTGGAAACCCAGCCTTGGCCTGACAGGCCTGGACTGCAGTCACAAATTACAGAAATCCAGGAGCCCAAAACCGGGCCACTGTGTCCCTCCACACTACTAGAGGCCAGAGCTCTGAGTCTGACAGTCACCGGGCCAGGAGATCTACCGATTCAGATCCCTTCCTTTTCATAGTCTTCTGCTGATCCCTGCTTCATGGGAAGGCTCTAGGGAGGCCCTACCTAGCCTCTCCCGGCTGGGGTATGCTCCAGGCCTCCTGGACTGCTGGCCGCACCCTCCAGCCCCTACCTCCACCGCATCTCTGTATCCTTCTCCCACCTACCTCCCTCTGTTTACCTCTGGTAAAGACATTGGTCATTGGAAGTGGGCCCACCTGCCATTCAGGAAGACCTCATCCTGGGATCCTTTATTTAATTATATCTGTAAGAGTGAGATGAAATTAACCCTTTCCTCCCCAAATTGGTTTTGGTTGTGTTTTTATCACAGCAATAGAGTGTAACTGATATACTTGTGTTTGCTCGTGCATCTAAAACAAAGAAGAGAAAAACATAGAACAGACTCGATACTCACTACATTTTTGAGCTCCCCACCTGAATCAGGCTCCATGAGGCCTCCAATGAATGGCCATTTCCATTGTGTTTAGAATCTCAAATGGACTGTTTGGGGGACTAGTTCTCTCAGCTCACACTCTGAAGTCAATTCTTACCACTGTGTCTTAGGTTTTTCCTGCATTGTTAGAAATTTGGGATCAAACACTGAGAAACCAACCTTTATGTGTGCCTTCCAGAGTGAGTCTATAAAATAGTTTCTAACCCAGAGACTGTGTGTTTTGCTCGGCTTTCCTATGAGATCCATATGGTGGGTATTCCCTCCTGAACTCTGAATCCTGGAGGGCTAGAAGGAACAGATGTGTTCTTGTCTTTGGGATCTTTAAGATCACATGTTCATAGCATTTGGGAATGCATAGGTATGCGCTGTTTATGGTATCAATTCCGGTCCTGTGTGTCACTAGAGACTTGTTTCACCTCAATGGGTCTTGGACTGCTAGCCTGGAGGCAGTAAAGAATGGCTTAGGAATCACAGGTAGACCTCGGCTTAGTGATTCTTGGAAGTCACCCCTTATAAAAAAACAAAAAACAAAACAAAACAAAAAAAACCTCCCTGGAGACCTGCCTAGTGCCCAATTTGACCAGGAAGAGATATGGATGACTCTAAGGAGATTACTCCTTCAGGAGTCAGGACACTCATTAAGCACAAGGTGTTTCTCTGCCCAGGAAACAGCAGCAAAGAACCCAAAGTAATGTAGAAACTAAGGGGGAGGGGAGGGGAGCTGGGGCGGCCTCTGAGCAGTAGGAAGGAAATGGAGGATCCACCAACGAGGCACCACAGTCCCACATGAGCCCACAGAGGATGTCTGTGAGGGTGGGAGGGAAGACAGCCCAGAGCCGCCACCAGCAGCCTGAGTTTCTTTACTGTTTAGAGACAATTCTTGACTTACCAACCAAAAACCCAGATTCTTCTCTGAAGAAAAGAATTTCAAGATGAGCCAGGATGAGGAACAGTTGAAATTTATTAAAAGCAATTTAAACACACTTTTCAGCAGGAGGAGGGCTAAGAGAAAAAGGCACTTCAAGGAAAGAAAGAAAAATCCTAGAGTTCTTTTGTGAGCTTCTCAGAGAGGAAACTCCCACCACTGGCTTTAAATAGTTAAATACAGACAGACTCTTTTTAAAAAAATAACAGGATTTCACTGTGTAGACCTGACTGGCCTAGAACTCACTGTAGATGAACCTAGCCAGTAAATAATAGACATCCACCTGCTTCAGCCCCCAGAGGGCTGTATTAAAGGTATGCCCCCCACTAAGTCTGGTTTATATACAAAATTTTGATGATTTTGAGTTGCTAAGAAATGCCAATGATCACCCTGTGATCATAAGTGGCGCCCAAGGTCTACCTGAGAGGATTACTGCTAATACAGGACAACTCGAGGTCACAGAGTTACAGGAAGTTCGAACATTTCCACTGTAAACAAAGTTATCCTTATTTGGGAGGTGTGAAAAAACATCAGGGAGAGGAGGGAGCATCACCAGAGGTCCAGTACACACAGTCCTTCTCCCTGGTGGGCTGTAGCTTTAACAATCTGGAAAGAGTATCATCCTCATGTGAGGAACCTTCACAGAAAATGTGAATTATGCTGGAATTTTGGATTTTCTGCTGGTGACAGACTTCAAGCAGACTCCTGGGGGGGGGGTCCTTCCCTCCCCAGGTCCACATAACCTTCCCTGGTTTTCTATCCTGCCTCAGATAGCACCATTAACAATTCTAATTTGGAAGACACTAACTTCCTAAAGTATCCTTTGCACCCTGGGGGGCTTATACATGACACCAGGAACATGAATACACTTAGCAACAATTAGCACCATTACACAGAAATCTGATTTTTTAATTTACCATCTACTTCTGAAAATAGCTTAAAATCTTTGGTCAGGAGTCAAAAAATCTACACTCTTACCATTTTAGCATGCTGACCACAAACGGACCCATTCTCTGAGGTAAAGTACATCTCGTATATAAAATATCAAAACACTTGTGTCTTAGAGATACACGGAGGTAGAGGAGAACGACAGAGGATGGTCTAAATGGTCTTTATCTCAATGCTACTAATTAAAGATAGAAACGCTAAAAGAACATCATTGCTCATTATGGATTTTTGTATAAAGGAGCACAGTAGGCATGCTTGACTCCCCTAAGATTTCACATAATTTATAATGCACAGATATGCAGTACTACACATTTCTACAGACAGATGCATTAGATATTAAGTGTACTTAAAAGACTTTTAGCCAGGCATGGTGGTACAAGGCTTTAATGCTAGCATCAGGAAGACAGATGCAGGCAGATCTCTGAGTATTAAACCAGCGTGGTCTACACAGGGATTACTTGCCTGTCAGGGCTACAAAGTGGGAAAAAAAAACACAAAACCAAACCATTTCAGTAGTTGCTTGTAAAGTACACGTTTAAAATCTGCTCACATGAAGTTTCCTGGCGGGTGGTTAAGGGTCTCTGATGTGTGCGAAAATACCATCCGTCAACAAGGACCCTGATCCCGGCCCTTCCTATTTGGGTTTCTTCTCTTCACATACTGCTGTACTAAAGACGGCCAGCATTTCATCAGGGAGAGAGAAAAGTCAGACCTTTCTGTTGTCCCTGAGGTTAAGAGAAATACTGAATCTTATCCTGATTAATGTAATATTGACCGTAGGTTTGACATATATAGTCTTTAATATGGTGAGATATGTTCTATTTCAAGATTCTTTTTTCTTTAATGAAAAAAGTTTATTCAAATCCAGGGAAATATTAACGTCATTTTGAATTGAATTAAGACTCTTCATCAATACA